TCAGACCTCTCTGGGACTCATTAAAGCAACTGTGTCTGTTTCCAAGATTGCAACAGAGTGCAACAGAAACAGCAGCTGTACAATGTTAGAAAGTGACAGAGACAATGTTAGGAAGTGACACTAGAATTTGACAGATGTTGGATTCACATGGTCCCAGGTTCTGAAATGCCTGTTCCAATGATTAAAAATTAAATCCAAAATACTGGAGGGCTATAACTACAAGGGCTAAGGCACTGCCTCTGAACTACAAGCCATTATAAGAGTGGCAGAAATCTAAACACTGGGAGGGAGAAGATGAAAAAAAGAGGGTTTCCCAAACTTGTGTTTAATCTTTCCTATAAATAATTCTTCTTGGTTTCCTTCCAATCCAGTCCCACAGAATGGAATTCGTGGACTTCAGAGAAGCAAGTTTGTCATTTATTAGATTTTACCCGTAGGCTACTTTATATCATTCCTGTCTTACATTTCTTAAGGCTGGACTATTTGGTCCCAGATATCCTCTGAAAAGGAATTTGCACAGAAGAGAAAGGAAACAGGCAGGGGTGAAATGCTCCCAGTTAAGTCTGGTTTGCCTGAATCGGTAGTAAAAAAAATGCTTTAAAAAAAAAAAGATTTTACCGCCCATAAGGAGGTGGTTACATGCACAACAATACTTTTATTCTATCTGGTTTCTAATTATATTTCTTCCGTAGCTACCCTATGCCAATGATACTATTTATTCCAAACTCTATAAAATTCAGTGTCTTCTTTTTCCTTTAATTCTTTTGTCAACCTATCCATTTCCGCACATTGTGTTATCTTATCTATTATATCTTCTTCCGATGGGATTTTTTCCGATTTCCAATTGCTAGCATATAAAATCTTTAGAGAGAAACTCAGAAAGTGAAGGTAATATATAGAACAAAAAAAAAAGAAGCCTTAGAGAGTAGAAAAGAGGAGAGGGTAAAGAGGTAAAAAGGAATCAGTGAGTTAAGATTTATGGGAATATGTATAATTGTGTAACTGGATACATCACTACGAAACAGACGCTTCAAATGATTGAATATATATAATTGTTTTATTGTATAATGTACTTTTTTTTTGGCTGTGTTTTGTTATATATGTTTTGTGTGTGTTTTATTTATTTGTTAATAAAGTTTATAATTTTTTTTAAAAAAAAAGTAAAAAAAAGAGTTCCAACCATTGTACAGCACAGCTGATTGTCACAGCTGATCGTTGGAACCTTTTTTTTTTTTTACTTTTTAAAGCATTTTTTTACTACCGGTTGTTGTGGCCCACCAGCGGCCTGCGCGGATCGTGGCTGATCCCGATGACGAGGAGGCTGGTGTGGTGTCGCGCCAGCAGCCTGCGCAGCCGGTGCTCGCGTCGGACAGCGAGGAGGCTGAAGAGGATATGATGCCAGAGGCAGAGACTCAGCCAGGGCCTTCAGAACCTCCAGAGGCTCCTTCAAGTGGAGAGAGCGAAGTGGAAGAGCCTCTCCTCAATGCTCGAGCACTCAGGGCTGCCAAAAGGCAGGAGTGGCTACTCAGGAGGAAGGAGAAGTCTCCTTGAGAGTAAGGTTTGAGGATAATTGGCCACTCCCTTAGCCTATTTAAGTCGCATGCCGTTAGTAAGTTTCTTGCTGGAAACAACTTGTAATTATCATCAGAGCATTTTTGGAAAAGTCTTATCTTGTTTTCTGGGCTGGTTGCCAACCTTTGCCAGACTTTGGTTTATTCTTGCTACTTAATAAATTTGATAAGGACCGTTGGTGTGTGTCTATATCCTCGGGAATCCGGAGCTGGGACAGAACACCGGTTTGGGTGAATGGGTAGTAAAAAAATGCTTACAAAAAGTAAAAAAAAAGGTTCCAGTGATCAGCTGTGACAATCAGCTGTGCTGTGGGATCATTGGAACCTCTTTTTAAAAAAACTTTTTAAAAGTATTTTTTACTATTTGCCCGAACCGGTAGTCACAGCTGATCCTCGGAACTTTTTAAAAACTTTTTTTAGTTAATTTTTTTTTTTTTATTTTTTTTAAATATACTTTATTAGTTTTATGATTAAAAACATGAAATCTCTACTAAAATCAGAAGTGCAGTGTTTGTACATATTTACAAGATATACATCAGGTATACTTCACACTTAAATTGCAAGAAATAAGCATAATAATAAGCATACCCTGATATCATGATTTTATCCTATTATTTAACCATTCGTACCACTTTCCCCATACTACATGGTGTTTTGATTTCTCATCGTTATTTAGCTCGTTCGTTAGTTTTGACATTTCTGCGCACTCTAAAATTTTATTTATTAAAATTTCCTCTGGTGGTATGGTTTTATCTTTCCAAAATTTCGCATAAACTAATCTAGCCGCTGTTGTAATATGAATTATAAGTTGGATTTTATCTTTAGTAAGCCCATTACTAATTATTCCCAAAAGAAATATTTCAGGGGATAAGTCTAATTCCTCTTCAATTATTTCCTGTAACCAAATTCGAACTCTAGACCAAAACCTTTTTGTCATTGAACAGGTCCACCACATATGATAGAAGGTTCCAACCTTTACTTTAAAAAAGTAAAAAAAAAAAATTGGCCACACCCATCCAGTCACATGACCCCCCCCACCAAGCCACGCCCACCAAGCCACACCCACAGAACCGGTAGGGAAAAATTTTGAATTTCACCACTGGAAACAGGGAATCTTTTCCTATGATACTGGCCAGTTTGTCAACCATTACAATGTAAATAAGTAAGTAAGTAAGTAAACAAGCCATTGTAATCACAGGCCATAATATAGGAATGTCATAACACAGAATAAAATAACAACAAAATAGTAACATTATAAAATAAAGCAATGGAGTAAGTATTAGATATGAAAAGGTTACAACAGAATAAAGCCAAAGCTGCAGCTAAGAACTTAAGTATTTCTCCTTAAGTTTAAATGAGAGCAGAGGAAAAGTAACGACTTGGTGGCTGAAAGTGGAAACACATCTCCACATTATTATCAGATGAGTATCAATGATGACAATTCTCTGCTACTCGGTTTCAGAATAGGAAAGACATCTCCTCCACTACATGGGATGACTACTAAGGATAAACTGCTATCTGTTGGAAGACATCTGTCGACCCTGAAGCTGACCTGACCGAAGCCATTTTGAACCACTTCAGTTTTGCCACCCTGGAGCTGAGGGATAGGGAGGGCGGGATTTGAAATAGAGGGGATTCTGTAGCCAAAACAAAATATCTTCTCTTAGGAACCAAAGACATTCTCACACCTGGTCGAAGGAAGCGGAGTGATGCTACCCGGCTGCCAGTCCGCACCGTGATTGGACCATGTGACTGATTGTTTTGAGAAAGTAGAAAAACTTTTAATTAGGTGAAAACTGCAGGAGACTTCAGAGTCAGTTTTAACTAGATCTGTGCCAATATGATATTTCCAATAAAGCTATTCTTTCGGGAATCTACCTGCCTCAAGAGTTTTGCTTGCTATGAATCTATTTCTTGGAACCCTGACATTATCTAGGAGAGTGGTAGGTAAATTTGGCTCTTTCACACCCTGTGGACTTCAACTCCCAGAATTCCTAAGACAGCTTGGCTTAGGAATTCTGGGAGTTGAAGTCCACAGGGTGTGAAAGAGCCAAGTTTGCCTACCACTGATCTAGGCTAAAGGAATCCTAAATTTTGCCTGGTAATCTGATCCTGGTGGTGCCTCCGACAAATGTACCCTGAACCCCTTAGGCTGGAAGGAACTCTGTGCCTGCCTACATTCTAGAGATGAGTTTGTATGCCTTCAAGTCAGTGTTGACTCCTGATGACTGCCTCAAGTAGTACCTGCAGTTTTCGTGGCTAGATTTCAGAAGTGGTGCTCGCTTCCTAGTGATGAGAAGCACCGAGTTGGCTTCAGGCTTAAAGAAGGACTAGAATTCACAGTCTTCTGGTTTCTAGCCTGATGCCTTAATCACTACCCCAAAACGGTTCTCATGTTCTACTCATAGTGAACACAAAATACAAGCTGGGCAGATACGACCTCATAGACGACCCTCACTCTGTCAAGGACCTTGGAGTACTCATCTCTAATGATCTAAGTGCCAGAGCCCACTGTAACAACATTGCCAAAAAGGCATTAAGAGTTGTTAACCTAATCTTGCGTAGCTTCTTCTCTGGTAATATTGTACTGCTAACTAGAGCATACAAAACATTTGCTAGACCAATTCTTGAATACAGCTCATCTGTCTGGAACCCGCACTGCATATCAGACATTAATACAATTGAGCGAGTCCAGAGATATTTCATGAGAAGAGTCCTCCATTCCTCTGCTCGCAACAAAATACCTTATGCCACCAGGCTTGAAATTTTGGGCTTAGACAACTTAGAACTATGCCACCTTCGGTCTGACCTAAGCGTAGTACACAAAATTATCTGCTACAACATCCTATCTATCAATGATTATTTCAGCTTCAACCACAACAATACACAACAGATACAAACTTAAGGTAAACCGCTCCAAACTTGATTGCAGAAAATGCCTGGTCAATGCCTGGAATGCACTACCTGACTCTGTGGTTTCTTTCCCAAACCCCCAAAACTTTAACCTTAAGACTGTCTACTGTTGACCTCACCCCATTCCTAAGAGGTCTGTAAGGGGGGGTGCATAAGCGCACCAACGTGCCTACCATCCCTGTCCTAATGTCCCCATTTATTCGTATTCATAACCAGGTTTATACTTATATCTGTTATCTTATACACGCTTCACAAAATTAAAAACAAACAAACTGTTTTGAGTAATGAAGCTAGAATATAGTGTTGTAGAAATATGTTATCTAAGAGGACTGTCATTGTCTTCCCACACTGTGTGTCTGGCGTTTCCAGTTAATCGAAAATCAATTCTTCCATGGACATGCTTTTGCTGTGAATTTCTTGAAAACAGGCAGGAGCTGGCTTGTAATTCCCCTGTAGGGTTAGGATGTAGCTGAAACGGTTCTATATTAAGCAACCAGAAAGAAAACAATCACCTACCCAGATGTTCGATGGAATAGTACCGTTGTTTACTGTCCACCCGCACTGTCTCGGCATAGGGGCTGCCTACCCCATAGCCAATGATGTAGCCACGTACAATGATGTTTGGATTCAATGGTGGGGTCCAGCTCATGACAATGCTGGTTGACAAAGGCCTGACGTGAAGAGAGCTTGGCTGATCAGGCACCTGTGATTCTGGAAGTCAAAAGAAAGACGGGATTGTTACCATTGACATAAAGGCATCTGAACAACAGGAAGATTTCTCAAGGAGAGAAGCAACCTGGAATTAAGGAGGAACTTCCTAACAGTGAGGACTATTAACCAATGGAGCAGCTTGCCTTCAGAAGTTGTGGATGCTCCATCACTGGAGGTTTTTAAGAAGAGACTGGACAGTCACTTGTCTGAGATGGTATAGGGTCTCCTGCTTGAGCAGGGGGTTGGACTAGAAGACCTCCAAAGTCCCTTCCAACTCTGCTATTCTATTATTGTCAAAGGCCATGATGCAAAAAAGAAGTATCAAGTGTGTTCTGATGAACATTGTGTCTATTGACATTATATTGGTTAGATAAAACACTTGCCAAAAAATCTCTGTAGATGAAGTGCCAAATTGTTTTAATTGCTAAAACTACTGATTTTATTGTAGAGCATTAAAAACTCCATAGTAGGGCATGAAATCAAAGTTCTGGTCCTTTTTTAATTATATGTCATATGCACAATATACATTAAAGAGTTCCTGGGCTTTGATTATATGGATACTGTCTTGATTTTTTTTTAATCTTTCTCTTCCATTCAGATGTGCCAGTTGTCTCTGAACCTTACTTTTTAAAGTTAAAATGCAATATATAAAATTCCGATTGATTGATTTCAATATTAGGTAAAAATGTGTCTGATTTTTTTGTGGGGAGGGCACTTAACATGCAAATTACTTCAGTACTGTACTTAGCTTCTGAATAATCCTACCTAGCTGAATATTTTTTTCCAGTTATAATACCTCACAGGACAAAACATAGCATTTGCTGAATGCAGTCTTCCTCGTATTACCATTTATTCCCCCTAAATGGAAAAATTGAAATATAATGAAACCACAATTATTATTTAAGGAGAGGGGGGAAGAGAGCGATGACAATAATGTGGGGTTAAGAAGAAATCAATAAATGTAAGAGAGAAAACAGGGAAAGGATCTACAAACACATTTTTAACAGTGCATAACTACTATATAGTCAAACAGAAACATAACAATTCCAGTCAGTTAGCCATAAGCAAAGTGCTTGTAAAATTTCCTTTATGCTTCAATGTTTACTCAGGTCAACCTCCTAATTGTTTAACCTCCTATAGTTCACTCAAAACAGCTTTTTTTTTTTAAAAACTGAATATGCATTTACAAAGCATTTGAATGAATGTCATGCCATGAAAACAGATATTCCTGATGACCATCATTCGTAACAATGGGTGCTTTAAAATCTTGCAAAATTAAAGGAAATTCTTTGCTTGCCACTTTGCAAAGGTGCTGCTATATCACAAGCCACTTCAGAGCAGCCAGAGAGACTGGCTCATATCTTTACAACAGAAAGAGATAAGTTGTTAGCATTTCTTTACTGAATAGGTAGAACTGGGGAAGACAAATACAGATATGAAGGTAAATATACATGTCTCAGAATAATGTTGCAGGATCCCATCTGCGTTGATCACCAGGATCAAAGGTTTATTCTTCCATGTTTTTGGGTTCACATAGAACAGCCCAGTGCATATATTCTGGAAAGAGAGAAGTTCCCTGATGATGGGTTCCAGCACAAGCCTGAAAGCTTGGAAGAATAAACCTTTGATCCTGGTGACTGACCCAGATCGGATCCTGCAACAAATGGATATATAAAGAATTAGCTACATGAGATGTAGTATTGGACTAGCAGCCTGGCTACTTCAAAAAAAAGGGTTGGATTGATTCATGGAAGTTATGGAGATCAATGACGGTTAAGAATTGATGGCAGTGGGACTGCCTCTGAAGACCATCTACTGGGAGATAAGTGGACTTCCTCATGTAGTTGATTTTGTGTGAGATTAGACTGATCCATTAGATAGGCTAGGAGTCTGATCCATCAGGGTACTGCTTAGGTTCTTATATCTGCAGGGTATGGTCAAGAAGTAGCCGTGCATCTAAAAGACAGGTAGAACTTCAGCTGTATTATCATAGATGCCCTCTTGACTTGTGAGCCCCACTTGTATTAAAGTCACAAAGAAGTTAAATATAAAAGAACATGTGAGATGCTTGGTACTCTTTGAACTTGGATGTTTTCTTGCAGATGTCTATGGAGATTCTGTCATCCAGCTTGTGATTGTCCCAAAGGTGCTTTTTTTTCAAGAGGCAACTGGACTTTCTGGTTTTTCTTTGAAGACGTTTCACTTCTCATCCAAGAAGCTTCTTCAGCTCTGACTGGATGGTGGGGAATGGAAGGATTTATACTCCTTGCAGACAGCTGGACATTTGCATTCTTTTAGCAGGTTGTTAAGGTCACCTGGAGGTTTATCTGTGTCATCAGAGTCACCTGAGTGATGCAAATTGGTGTGGAGCCTTCTTGGAACTGTAGAAAGGACTGTGTTGTAGATTGGAGATAGATGATGTCATATCACTTCCCCTCTGTTGAGAGAGGGCTGTTCAATTTTGACATAGATGGCCTTTTTAACCCCTCTTTCAAACCAGTGATCCTCTATGTCCAAAATATGGACTTTGTTGTCTTCAAAGGAGTGGTCTTTGTCTTTTAAATGCAGATGGACTGCTGAATCTAGTCCTGATGTGTTTGTTCTCCTATGTTTTTACAGATGTTTCATTACCCAATTGGTAAGATCTTTAGTGCTAGAAGAGAGTGGGGTTTGCTCTCTGTTTATACCAGGGGTGAAATGCTCCTGGTTCGGATCGGATCGCCTGATCTGGTAGCGATGGTGGCGGGTGGTTCGGAGAACCGGTAGCAAAAATCCCTGCCCCCCCACCACCACCATGCCCAGCTGAGCTGCAGGATCATCAAAGGCTTTTTTTTTTTTACTTCTAAAAGCATTTTTTCTACAACCTCTTCCGATGAAAAAATGCTTTTAAAAGTAAAAAAAAAGTCTCTGATGATTGCGCGGCTCAGCTGGGATAGTCAGAGGCTTTTCAGAGCATTTTTTTCTGCAACCTCTTGGCGGAAGAGGTGGTAAAAAAAATGCTTTGAAAAGTCTCTGACGATCCCAGCTGAGTTGCCTGATCGGCAGAGAGATATTTTTTAAAAAGCCTCTCTGACGATCCCAGCTGAGTTGCCTGAGCGGCAGAGGCTTTTCAAAGCATTAGAAAAAATGCTTTGAAAAGTTAAAAAAAAAAAGTTGGCCGCGCCCACCCAGTCACATTACCCCCCACCACCACCACCACCAAGCCATGCCCACAGAACTGGTAGTAACAAATTTTACATTTCACCCCTGGTTTGTACCCTGTGCAAATATTCTCTTTTTATCAGTGAAATATCAACACAAAATGTTTAAGCAAACTAAGACAAAAAGGCCTATGAAAGATTCCCACCATAAACACAGAAATTAAAAAAGCAATTTTAAAACAAATGACGAGACTAACATTGGTTAGTGTTGCTGAACTTGATTGCATTCTCTGTGCCTTTAACACATTTTATGAGATTTGTGATGAATTTTGGCAAAGTTTCCAATAAAAAGTTCAACCCACTCTCAAAGTTTGATTAGAATTGAAGAAGATTAGAATTAAGATATAGCAGCGTTAACAAAATTTTAATAAAGCACCATTTTCAGGTGAATTTATTTTTGAGCTATGCTTGGCTAAAAAAAATGCTTACATAATTAGAAATAGATTGGAATAGATCACACGTTAAAAGACAGGCTGTCCTGAGAAAGCAGGACTTATGTAATTTGTTTTTTTTACAATTGCATAAAAATATTTGAAATATTTGCTTGCTATTTATTTCTGTAATAATTATTAAATACCATTTTAAATCAGCTTTATAAAAGTTACTGTATTCACTTGGGTGTTGAGGCAAGATTCTTATAAATGTAACTATTTTTATAAATGTAAGAAGTAAGAATAACAAAGGGAGAGAGAGAGAGGAAAGGCTGATGAAAGAGAAAGTTTGGTGTTGAAAGTTGTTAACTATCACATAGTTCATTAATAATTATAACTGATGACTTAATGAAGAGCTAGGGAAAAAAATGATTCCAGAAATAGATCTTAAATATTAAACTGGTTTCAATATGTGATATGCTAATAATTTAAAAATAATAAAATTACATAGCCAGGCCATTCCAAAAACTGATTTTGAAACCTGCCTATACAGTATTATGCAAAGTGCTACATTCATCTTTCTGCCTAATTTATTTTGTAAATGTTTGCACAATTTTCTGGTCTTGAGAAGGACTTCTGAGAATTCATAGGCACAGTTAATCCATTTGTACACAGCCTATAACTAGGAGCATGGTCTGTAAAGCTGAAGACTGAATTTGCAAGAAGGTGAATTTTTCATGGAATCATCTTCTAAACCAGTATTTGTCAACCTTGGCAACTTTAAGACTTGTGTGGACTTCAATTCCCAGAATTTCTCAGCCAGCATGCTCTCTGTGGAATTCTGGGAGTTGAAGTCCACATTCCTTAAAGTGATTGAGGTTGAGAAACATTATTCTAAGCTTTCTCTACTCTATATCCCTAGTTTGGAGTGGCCAGTTAGAAGACAGGAAGAAAATTAGTGACATGACTGTTGGGATATACTTGGTTAAAGGAAAAGCAAAGAAGCAATCATAAAGAGTGGAAAGAAAACAACAAAAAAAAAATTGACCAAGGGGAACGTAGTATTTAAGCAACGAAAAAGTCAGAAGGCTTTCAAGAAGGGTTCAGGGATGAGATGAATTCAACTTCATGGGGGCATGAATTGGCTGGATCATTACAAATGAAAGCAGATATATGTCTCCCAGGATAATGTTGCAGGATCCAATCTGGGTCAGTCAGTGGGACCTGAGGTTTCGTCTTCCGAGTTTTTGGACTTGCGCTTCCTGAAGTTCCCTGAGGATGGGCTCCAGCATGAGTCCAAAAGCTTGGAAGATAAAATCTCTAGTCCTGGTGACTGACCCAGATTGGATCCTTGCTGGATAATGTCTGGGAGGAAACAGGAAAAAATTCCATGTCTACCTAGTAGAATTCTTGGTTTGTTTTTATCCAGGAAAACTCTTCTTAGGTTTTTAAGGAGATGTTTGCAGATAGCTAGATCAAAAAAAGTTAACACAAAAACCAGGGTGAAATTCAGCTGGTTCTATCCGGCTCAGGCGAACTGGTAGTGGTGGCTGCAGGAAGCTCCGCCCACCTGTGCGGACATCATGATGTCCCTTTTTGCGATGATTTTCGGCCTCTGCGCCTGCACAGAAGGCTTTGCGTATGGGCGGACGACAGTGTGTGCGAGTGAAGTGAGAATGCGTGTTGCATGCACATTTGCAAACTGGTAGGAAAGGTAAGTGAATTTCACCCCTGACAAAGATGTATTTTTTTTTCTCCCTGACAAATGATACATGTATATGGGGATAGGATTTTTTTTTCTCTCTCCTGAATAAAGGAAGAACTGATGAAATATACTAGGATTTTCCTCCCTCAAAATGCAATAGAAAAATGCCACAGAGAATGCTTCCCCCCATCCATGGGACGAGAAGTCTTATTTTTCCTGTTCTCTTCCACAGAGTGAGTATAGCAGGAAAAAAAAAATACTATAAAACTTCTGTTTTTCATTGTAAAAATATGATTGTTTCTTTATTCAAACTGTGGGATGATATACAGTATCAACGAGCATCTTTGGCTAATTTTGCAAAAGCTAAGCAGGGTCTGATGCGATGAACGTAGAAAATTTCAGGAGGTAAGATAATTATTTTTTTTTTAAAAAAAAGAAAATGAAAGATGGGGTTTTCTTTCGAAATGGATATTTAAAACCTTTCCAGCTGTTGGAAAGACTGTTTGGCTTTCCAGGGAATCTTGGGTAGCCTGCATTGTTTATAGTTTTCTAATTGCTTTAGCAAAACGCACTGATTAAAAGGCATATCCATAGGGAGTTAAGGGAATTCTTTAAAAGATACTATTTGTTTCCCATGTTAGTGCAAATCCCAAGAAGGCAGCAGTGGTGACAAAACTGTTACAGCAAAAATGAGAAAAAGAGCCTGCCACAACCAATCTCTTCCTTAGCCTGGTAGAATTTACCAGATCTATTTCTCTACAGGGATGATCCTGAAAGAAATCCCCTCAAACAGGGAGTAGGCCAAAGCCAGTTCCAGATTTAATAGCAGGTCTCTGGCTGATCCGCAGTAGGCTGTTAAATTACAAAGATGCGCAAAACGGCGTGCAGATCATGAAAGCGCACAAAACGAGTCTCCTTAGATTTGAAACCATTCTCCTGAAATGAATAAATATTGGGGTCATGGATTTGTGATCCATTCAGTTGAGACATTCATTCTGAGCACTTAGGAGGATTCTCTGCTCTCAAGACTTCAGCTGATCGCACCCATTTTAATATTTCAACTGAGCAAACCAGCTCTGTAGTTCTCTGACAAAAATCAAATGCCCTGCCAATTAGGGTTGCCAGGTCTGCTTCCAAAAAATAGCAGACAAGCAGGGGGGTGGGGTGGGGAGTTAAGTAGTAAAAAAATAATTAAAAAAATTACAATTAAATTATATATTTTCTTACAAACATTTTAACACGTATTAAAATAATCACTTCAAAACTTTACTTAAAATTCAAAACATCAAATATAATAATATGTAAAATATTAAATTACATTTTACTTTGCTGTCGTGTGTATTTTTTATTTGACTGCGCAGCTTTGATCAATTCTTTGTGTTTAAGGAATAATTCTTTAATTTCAGTACAACGTTGAGAAATATTAAAAAATATACAATCATAAAGCTTTTGAATAAAAAAAAATGTCCACTATTTTGTGAAAAAAAAAAATAGTGAACATAATGTGAAAAAAGCGGACTGTCCGCTCAAATAGTGGACACCTGGCATCCTTACTGCCAATTTCAGCCTGTCAAGGAAAGATTTGCCCATCTCGTACTTCCAGTTGTTGTTAGGATTCAGGCACTCAGAATTCCTACTGATTTGCTCATTCCTATAGAGACAAAGCTGGAGGTCATAACGGCTGGGGGATTCTTGGGGGCTAAAATGCCAACACATGAAGAGGATCAGGGTACTGTAGAGCTTAAGAAGAAAAGACAGGATTAAGATTCAACGTGGCTAAAATAAATGTGAACTGAACTCAAAAGTGAGACACCAGTACAAAAGAAGTATCTCGAGATACTGTGGTCATGTAAAGCAAAGGAATAAGGCTTAAAGCTCAAAAGAGGAACAAAATGAGAAAATTGTAGCAAGGCATTAAAAGATATAGAGAGATAGCTGAAGGAAGAATGGCTTGGAAGGACAGATATAGAAAGGTGTTGATGCCAATTAGATCATTTAGTGATATTTCTTTTTCTTGCTTCACTATTCCTTTTCTGTGCTTTGCATAATAACGTTTACCCTCAAAGTTAGAGCATTAGGGACAGGTCTGTATGATATAACCCCCTGCTCCAGTACAGGAATCTAAGTTAAAAACATTCCAGAAGAATGGACCTATCTGATCTGATCTCTAATCAATCAGTTCCAATGTATTCAAAAATAAGTTCCAACATATTCAAAAAATATTACTATCTTTTTCCTGCATTCAGCTGAAATCTACAGTACTTTTCTGTAATTAAAACCATTATTCTTGGTCCTGCACTTTTGGAAAACAGAGGGCAAGTCTTGGCCCTCATTTGTGGGGGGAAAAAACCCCTCTTTAGATACTTGAAAAGTATTGCCATATTTCTTTTGCATGATCCTCCCCCCCCATGTTAAATATATCCAACTACTTCTCCTAGGACTTTGTTTCTAGTCCCTTGACCACTTCATTATCCTTCTTGGCACCTGTCCCAGGTTCTCTGAGGTCCTTTTTTCTAAAACTGAGATGCCCGTAATTGGAAAACTAATCATATGGCTTTCCAAGCCATAGCAACAGCACTAATACAGCTCTGCTTCATTTGGGAATGGATCAAAGTGGGTTTTTATATCCTTGCAAGGTTGAATCTTTCAACAAAAGGCTTAAATATAACTTTTTAGAGTTCATCTTACAGATACAGGATAACAGAGTTGGAAGGGACCTTATAGGTCGTCTAGTCCAACCCACTGCCCAAGCAGGAGACCCAACACCATTTCTGACAGATGGCAGTCCAGTCTCTTCTTGAAAGCTTCCAGTGATGAGGCTCCCACAACTTCTGAAGGCAAGCTGTTCCATTGGTTGATTGTTCTCACTGTCAGAAAATTTCTCCTTATTTCTAGATTGAATCCCTCCTTGATCAGTTTCCATCCATGATTCCTTGTCTGGCCTTCAGGTGCCTTGGAAAATAGCTTGACCCTTTCCTCTCTGTGGCAACCCCTCAAATATTGGAAGACTGCTATAATGTCTCCCCTGGTCCTTCTCTTCACTAGATTAGCCATGCCCGGTTCCTGCAACCGTTCATTGTATGTTTTAGCCTCCAGTCCCCTAATCATCTTGATTGCTCTTCTCTGCACTCTTTCTAGAGTCTCAACATCTTTTTTCATAGTGTGGTGACCAAAATGGATCTTGTACTTTGGTACAAGCTTTGGGAGAAACAATGGGAGATGTCTCCTGATGTCATGAGATTCTGGAAAACTTTTTTCTTTTCTTCTAGACCTAAGAGATCTTGGTTTCCTCCAGTGACTCCATACATGCATTCTAATGAAGCCCTAGACTTATGACTTTGTGGCTGAAGTATTTCAGAATCTGGAAGGCTTTGCCTTCAGGCTTTACGAATTCCAATAGATTGGACTGAGCAGATAGATTTCAGACCTGCCACAGAGTAAAGCAGCTCTTTAGCTATTTCCTGCGGTACCCACAGCATGGAAAATATTGAAGTTGAAGGCTACAGTGAAAACTACCCTTGCTCTGAGCATCCATCCAATTGTTACATTTTGGCAAAAGACATGATAGCAACAGCTGGTCCAGAAGTTAAAATTAGATAGATGCTTAGAAACACCTTGTGAAAATAATGGAAGAGAACAGAGCTGTCTTTTTTTCTCATTTCTGCTTCACTTGCCCATACACAGAGAGAAATTTAGCAGCATGCAATCAATGAAAACACTTCTGCTCGAAAAAATATTCAGGCATCAACTCCAGTGGCTTGGACATTGGATCATCCTAACCTCCACAGCAGTTTTACCTGAAGGGCAAGGCAACTATCTGAGCACAAAACAGGCATAACAGCTGCGAAAATAAGTACCATTACCATCAAGATCACTCTCTGGAGTTTCTGCCGTATACCACTCCGAAGAAGGTCCTGTTCCATTGGCTGTCATAGCTGCAACTTGGAAACTATATTGGCTTCCTTTGTCAAGGCCTATTTGCAATAGAAATCAAACAGAAAACATCGAGTTAATGCTGCTGACATTCTACAAATCACATTAACACAACCGCTTCTAGCATAGCAGTATAAGGGGACACGGTGGCTCATTGGCTAAGATGCTGAGCTTGTCGATCAAAAGGTTGGCAGTTCAGCGGTTCGAATCCCTAGCGCTGTGTAATGGGGTGAGCACCCGTTATTGGTCCTAGCTTCTGCCAATCTAGCAGTTCGAAATTATGTAAAAAATGCAAGTAGAAAAATAGGGACCACCTTTGGTGGGAAGGGAACAGTGTGTTTAGTCATGCCAGCCACATGACCACGGAGACGTCTTTGGACAGCGCTGGCTCTTCGGCTTTGAAATGGAGATGAGCACCGCCCCCTAGAGTTGGGAACGGCTAGCACATATGTGCGAGGGGAACCTTTACTTTTAGTATGACTCCAAACCTAGTTCTCCCCTCCCCATGTGAATATGTCTATGTGTGCATGGATCAGCAGGATGAAGGTTTCTTCACTAAAAGTTATAAACCATGATCTGTCTCACTAGCCCAATGTAGGCAGATTGGTAGATTTTGTTTTTAATTTTAAACTTTGCAGTCTAAGACTTAAAGACAGAGACTGGCCCAAGTTGACTTATATGCATAAGGGAGGACTGAAACAAGGTTTCCCAGCTACAGTCTGTTCCCCTGGCTGTATAAACTTATGGTTCTGGTCCTGCCCTCTGGGGAACAGAGAATTAATCAATCCCCTATTTAATGGGACAACTCTTCAGATAAGTCCTTGACTTATGACTGCGATGCAGTCTGTCCATTAAACTTCTGACAGATGTAAAGCAGGTCACCCAGGCAACCAACCTGACTTTATAACATTTTTTTTTTTTTGCAACAGTTATTATTTGACTGTTGCATTCCTAAAGCAATTACGGCAATTGTAAAGCAACTGCCACAGTCAAAAAGCGAATGCCTTGGTTGCAAAGCAAACCCATCGTTTGCTATGGGCTGGTTTTGCAAAAAACAACAACAAACAAACTCCAGAAAACCCCCAAACCAGAAGTAAACTTCCTTTTTCAGCGAAAACTTAAATGCAGGCCACTTGCCAAGCACCCAAAATGCAGTCATGTGACCACGTGAGTAGGGCGGCTGATGGAACTGCAGAACTGAGTCATAAGTACCCCGGGGAAGACTGTCAACTCTGAATGGTCGGGAAACAACTGGCCCTAAGTCAAGGACTACCAAGATTGCTATGGTATGGTCTGTGGGCTAATCCACATCCAGATCCTTTAATGTTTCTCACAGAGGGTAGTATCTTGAACCCTTGGTACCCCTCCTCTGAACTCAGTCCCATTTATTCCTTTCTGTGGAAGAACAGAGACCCTGAACAGGAGATATGTACCTGTGGTTCAGTGGTGAAATTCAATTTTTTTTTACTACTGGTTCTGTGGGTGTGGCTTGGTGGGAAGGGGAAGGATACTGTACAATCCCCATTCCCACCCCACTCTGTGGCCAGCCAGATGTGGTATTTGCCAGTTCTCCAAACTACTCAGAATTTCTGCTGTCGGTTGTCCGAACTACTCAAAATTTCCACTACTGGTTTTCCAGAACCTGCTGGATTTCACCCCTGCTGTGCTCCTTTCTCCCCATACCTTCTTGGCTCTCTCCCATTGCCAGGACAATGCAGCTGCCAATCAAACAACAGCTGCCAATCAAACAACAGCGTTGGGCAAGAGGAAAGGAGGGAAGGCAAAATGGTTGCCTGGGAACTCTGCCAGCACTCTTGTCATGAGGGAAATGTTCAGGCAAGCGAGTTGTTGCTGCACAACGTTTTCCATTCCTACCTATAAAAAGTATAGCCCAAAATCTTTTTGTCCTAAAGCAGATACTGTGGTAGATACAACAAGCTATCCCAAAGGTGCTTTTTCAAAAGGAAACTGGACTTTGTTTTTCCTGGAAGACATTTCGCAGAAGTTTGGGACCACCATGACCTGGATGACTTGAGAATCTGAATAGACACACCACAAGCTAAGCTCTAATCTTGAATTTTAATGATGCATCCAATCCAGTTTGAATCCTGGAGGAAATACTTTGTTCTGACAATTGTTACATTCCAACATAGGAGTGCCTTGAAGTTATTTTGTACCAGATTTCTCTTCCCTTTGACAACATTACATGTTTATCATTTCACGCATCTTATACGATCCATGAAGCATAACAATAAGCGGGCACGTTTAATTGCAGAGATCCCCTGGGGAAGGAAGTTTGAAACTCAAAAGAGCCAAATCCACCTTTAAAATTCTAGCTGATGCTGGATGTAACTATAAAATCAACAATAGTGATTTAAAGTCATTGTTGCAATTCTGAATTACTTGGGTATTGCAGCTGTTCTCATTAGTGGGCAAAAACACCTGCCTTTACTAGCAGATGCTCTTAAGGAAACATAAAGTCTTGCTGCTTGAATATTTAAATAATCTCTTTAAAAGCTGCAAGATTCCCAGTTCCTTTGGAAAATACTGTAATATAAAAGCAAAACTGTGACAATTAGGTTTGCATTTGGTTATATTCCATTCAGCCTGTAGTATTTAACAGCCTTTCTTGAAATTGATTTACACTATCTACATGGTTTATTTGTTTGCTTGTTTGCTTGTTTATTTATTTATTTATCCCACTTTTATTATTTTCGTAAACAAATCAAGGTGGTGAACACACCCAAAACTCTTTTCTTTTCCTAGTCTCTCCACAATAACAATTCTTTGAGATGGGTTAGATTGAGAGAGAGGGAGAGGGAGAGAGAGAGATAGATAAAGAGGGAGGGGGAGGGGGAGAGAGAAAGAGAAGGAGGGAAAGAGAGAGAGAGAGAAGAAGGTGGGAGGGAGGGAGAGATAGACAAGAAGAAGGAGGGAAGGAGAGAGAAAGGGACAGAGGGAGGGAAAGGGAAGGAGGGAGGGAGAGAGAGAAGGAGAAGGAGGGACAGAGGGATGGAGGGAGAGAGACAGACAGAGAGAGGAACAGAGGGAGGGGGAGGTAGAGAGGGATGGAGGGACGGAGGGAGGGAGAAGGAAAGAGGGAGAGAGAGAGAAAAAGACAAGGAGAAGGAGGGACGGAGGGACGGAGGGATGGAGGGAGAGAGAGAGGGACAGAGGGAGGGAGAGGGAGAGAGAGAAGGAGGGAGGGGAAAGAGGGAGGGAGAGAGAAGAAGGAGGGATGGAAGGACAGAGGGATGGAGGGAGAGGGAGAGACAGACAGAGAGATGGAGGGAGGGAGGGACGGGAGAGAGGGAGGGAGGGAGGGAGGGAGGGAGGGAGAGAGAGAGAGAGAGAGAGAGAGAGAGAGAGAGAGAGAGAGAGAGACTGGCCAGTCACTCAGCTTGGTTTGTGCCTATGGTGAAACTAGAACTCACTGCCGCCTGGTGATTGGCCCAAGTCCACTCAGCTGACTTTCATGCCTAACGCAGGACCGCTCACAGTCTCGTGGTTTCTAGCCCGGTGCGTTAACCACTAGACCAAACTAGTCTATCAACAGTTAGTTCCATATCTTTATATGCTTCCTAGAAGGGATTCAGCTGAATTTACTTGGGCTAGCCGAGAAATGAAAAGAAATTGATGTTTCTGACCAGAAATGGACCTGTTATGACTGAACAGCTCTGAAAGTATATTTTGGCTTAAAAGTTGCCTCCAAGTATGCGCGTCTTAAAGAACATTTCTGAGCAAGGGCCAAAAAAGGCAAGCGTGAAACTTCAGGTGGAATCAAATACCTTATGGAGAGTTCCTCTGCATTTGCCTATCAAAACAACGGCCATTTTGTTTGCTTAAAAATAATGACCACAATGTTTTTTTTTGAGGGGGTGACAGGCTTTGTTTTTGCTTTGGAGCTGTCATTCGTAGAACCTAATTTAAGATGAAACCTGCAAGACAGCCTGGGGGATTGTATTGCAAACTCATTAAGGCATGGAATATCGGGAGGTACATATAGATGATAAAACCATTAAACAGGAAACAAAGTAAAAATGCGCGAAGGCTGCTGTTGTACAGTCCAATAAATGTCAGCCGAATGCAAGGCAACCGACGTTTGCTTGAAGTAAAAGCTCATTTTATTCCCCCCAGTATTTCATTCCTCCACTGTTTTGTAAGGCTGATGTCATGTAAACACTCACCTGTAAACAGATACCAGAGGTTATTTGGTTCCAATGTTTCTACCTCACCCCTGCGAGCTGTCTTTCTGTGCCGTATTTTATAGCCGGTGATAAATCCATTTTGCATGCTGGATGGTGGGGGTAGCCAACTCATTTTGATGCTCTGTAAAACAAAGACATTAAACTGAATGTTGCCGTATTAATTTTCTGATTCCTTAAGAATGCAAGCAGGCCAGCCTACTCAAAAGGCTTGCTAATTCATGTTCCATTGATTTGAAGGGGGTAAATCTAGAAATAATTCCTTGTGTGTTAGACCTGCTAATAAGGGTGTACAAATTGCTTTGTCTTGATTAGGTAAAGGTTGAGCTATCCTTACCAAATGGTCACTAGGTGGCAGCAAGGAATTAGAGGTTTTGTGTTCTCTGCTGCCATCTAGAGGTTTCCCATTTTGGACTGGATAACATTATAGATAGATAGATAGATAGATAGATAGATAGATAGATAGATAGAAGATAGATAGACAGACAGACAGACAGACAGACAGACAGACAGAAGATATAGATATAGATATAGATATAGATATAGATATAGATATAGATATAGATATAGACAAGCTCAGCGTCTTAGCCACTGAGCCACTGTGTCATTCTCATATATATGAGAATGACACGGTGGCTCAGTGGCTAAGACACTAAGCTTGTCGATCGAAAGGTCGGCAGTTCAGCGGTTCGAATCCCTAATGCTGTGTAACGGGGTGAGCTCCCATTATTTGTCCCAGCTTCTGCCAACCGAGCAGTTCGAAAGCATGTAAAAAATGCAAGTAGAAAAACAGGGACCACCTTTGGTGGGAAAGTAACAGCATTCAGTGCACCTTTGGCGTTTTAGTCATGTCAGCCACATGACTACGGAGATGTCTTTGGACAGCTCTGGCTTTTCGGCTTTGAAACAGAGATGAGCACCGTCCCCTAGAGTCGGAAACGACTAGCACATATGTGCAAGGGGAACCTTTACCTTACACACACACACACACACACATACACACACATGGACAGTGTGGTGACTGGGTCAAATCTTTTTTAAACAACTCTAATAATAATAATACAAATAAGTATATGTAATCCTAATTTTCCAACTTCAACAATGCTATTCTCTCTTCATAATTCTTTATCATTTTTCTCATTAATTCATTTAAACATAGATAACATTTCTTTGTGCCACGTATTTGTTATCCCCTACTAAATTACTAATATTTAATGTTTTAATAATTACTCATTATTCCACTATAACTTCAATATTCCGAATGTGGAGGATTACTAATAAAGCCAAATATTAATTTAACCCAGGAGTATATCTCAAAATCCCCACAATTTCTAATCCTTTATATTTTAAATTCACAATATACTTTAACACACAATTAATGTTAATAATACAATTAAAATACCTAATCCTAAATTTCCATCTACTAAGATTAATTTATTTTCAGTTATAATAAATTGCATTATTTATTAATATATATCAGTGGTGAAATCTAAAATTTGTTATTACCGGTTCTGTGGGCGTGGCTCGGTGGTGGTGGGTAATGTATGGGTGGGCGTGGCCAATTGTTTTAAAACTTTTAAAACCATTTTTTCTACAACCTCTTCAGCAAAGAGGTTGTAAAAAATGCTTTCAAAAGGCTCTGAGGATCCCAACTGAGTTGCTTGATCGGCAGAGACTTTTTTTCTTTTAAATGCCTCTGACGATCCCAGCTGAGTTGCCTGATCGGCAGAGATTTTTTTTCCTTTTAAATGCCTCTGACGATCAGGCAACTCAGCTTGGATCGTCAGAGGCATTTAAAAGAAAAAAACCCTCTTTTTCTTTTAAATTCCTTCTGGGTGCCCTTTGTCTCTTTCTGCTGTATTATTTGAGCACCCATCAACAAGTCTTCCTCTTTTTTTTTAAGTGGTTTTTCTTTTTCCCCCCTCTAAATCTTTCCTTTTTTTTGAAGAATTTTTTCTCTTTTCTCTCTGTTCTATTATAAACTTTGAAGGAGTTATCTAATTGATTCCTACTTATTAGTCCTTTCTCTTCCTTATTTTTAGCTTCTTGCGTCTCATTTTCATTTTAATTTCTCATCTATTTCTTGGAACCAATATAGGAACCAATCAGAAGTTCCTATAAGACTTAAAAGCAGGAGAAAAAGAAAAAGAAATTATCTTTTCCTGCCATTGTTCACTTGCAATGTTATTTGAAGATATGCTGCTCTCAACTTGGAGGTCACACTCAACTTATAATATTCATTTAGCAATTGCTTGAAAAAAATGACTTACAACTGGAACTCACACTCATGACCTCAGCAGCGTCCCCATGGTCACATGATCAAAATTTGCACACTTGGCAATCAGCATGTATTGACGACTGCACAATTCACTTAACATCTGCAGTGATTCATGTAACAACCATGGCAAACAAGCTCATAGAATTGGGTGTGAACTCAACAATCGCCTTGTTTAATAACAGAAATTCTGGTCCCAATTGTGATTGTAGGTCAAAAACTACCTGTAGTAGCTATCACCATGTACTGTGATCATGAATTGTACAGGGGGCAGTACGAGTCCATAAAATATTCCTTCGTGCATACTGGCAATCTTATTTCAATATGCTAAGCAATCATTTTTCTGCAGGAAACTATTTTAGAACACACCATAATGGTATTGAGCCGTTCTCTCTTACTTCCCCTTATATTGAAATGATTGCACACCCAACCTAACAGCTGTGTCCAGGAAACGTATTTTACCAGGTCGGTTAAAGATCTAGCTAGTGGAATGGTGTGGTGGCCTAGAGGTGGAACTCTCGCCTCACAAACAGGAGGCTGTGGGTTCGATCCTAGGTAGAGGCAGATATTTCTCTCTCTGGGCACACTGAGAATATATCTGCTGGACAAAACTCCGCATTGGTGACAGGAAGGGCAACTGGCCATTAAAACACTCTGCTAACTCCATTCAGTTGCTCTGACTCCACCACTCAAGGGATTATGGGGTTGTTAAATGAAGATGAGTTAAAGATCTAGCAGCTGCCTGATGATATGTAAAGCTTTGTTATTTTCTTGTTCAGCATTTATTTATTTATTTATTTATGCCAAGGACGTATGCAAAAGTATTCCGAGACCCTACTTTCAGCAGGACAGGCCTAGGAAGAAGCTCTGTTCTTTGTTCCTTTCTGCTTTTCCCTTTACATCAACGAAGAAATCTTTCAATGGGTCCACTCATTCATTAAAATAAATGACTATACTGTGGCTCCAAACTGAACAGCAGCCGCTGCCAATAAAGTAGCAGATAATATAAAGAAAATAGATAGGTGTTATTATTTTGCTGTAGGAAATTTCAATTCTTTTATTTTCTGTGGCATTACAACTCCTGGGAGCAACATGGATGTAAAGGGGAGGCTCATAAAATGTCTTAATTGAGTAAAACAACAGAGGGGGCAAAAATCAGCAAAAGTAAAAGAAAGGAACAGCTAAAGGCATTATTTTTGTTTGCAAGCAAAGACATATGAAGATAACCTTAAAGGCCAGCATAAATCAATAAAAAAAGTTACTTTGCCAACTGCATTATTGTATGTGAAAATATTTTTATTTAAAGTGAGTCCTGTCAAAATGTCCTGTCAAAATGGATTCCATGGAACACAAATCACTCAAGCCTCCCACCAACCAGTAGGCTCCCACAGAGAGGGGCTTCTCAGGGTGCCGTCGGTCAAACAATGTCGACTGGCGGCCCCCAGGGGAGAGCCTTTTCTGTGGGGGCACCTACCCTCTGGAATGAGCTGCCCCCGGAGATATGGCAGATCCTGGATCTTCGCACCTTTCGTCGTTCCCTAAAGACGTTTTTATTCCAGCAAGCTGGCCTGGCCTAACTCTTTTAAATTGTTTTAATTCTTAAATTGTTAATTATCGGTTTTAATATAGGGGTGTTTTAATTGTGGGCCAAATTAATTTAATTGGATTTTAATATTGTTTTTAAATTTTGTATTTTTTGTGTTTTATCTGTTGGATGTTCACCGCCCCGAGTCCTTCGGGAGAAGGGCGGTATATAAATATAAACAAACAAATAAATAAATAAATAAGTCAACCCAGAGCTGATAATCAGGTTCCTTCTGAATGTGGGTTTAGTGCTATTCCAGAAAAGTGCTAAACCTATCATAATGACAGAGAGAGCTGTACTATGAACCAGGACTGAGGGAGGATGTGCCCTCCTGCTTCTAACCCATATGACTGGCTAAATTCTATTTAGATTGATCTAGGTCTTTTTTTCAAGCCAGACAGTCCATATATCTTCTATGATGGGTACACAGGGAGAGCCCAGATGAAAAGAGAATAACAGTATAACAGAATAGCAGAGTTAGAAGAGATCTTGGCGATCTTCTAGAAACCATATACCAGTGATGGCTAACCTTTTTGCCGTCGCATGCCAAAAGCATGGGGAGCGTGGGGGGTGGGGTCATGCACATGTGTGCCCATACCCATAATTAAATGTGCCCTGCCCCCTGTGCATGCGCACGGGACCCCCCCACACTCCCCACAATTTTGGCACATAATGGCACAGTGGGCCCAGTATGCCCGTTTTTCGCTCTCCCCAGGCTCCAGAGTTTTTCTAGGAGCCTGAGGAGGATGAAAATGGCCCTCCCCACCCCTCCGGAGGCCCTTGGGAGATGGGAAACAGCCCATTTCCTGACTTCCGGTGGGCCCAGAAGGCCCAAAAATCAGCTGGCCAGCGTGCATGTGCACCAGAGCTGAGCTAGGGCAAAACTCATGTGCCCAGCGATATGGCTCTGTGTGCCACCTGTGGCACATGTGCCAGAGGTTCGCCAACATAGCCCTATACCATTTCAGACAAATGGCTGTCCAATCTGTTTTTTAAAATCTCCAGTGTCGGAGCTGGAGGCAAGTGGTTCCACTGATGAATTGTTCCAACTGTCGGGAAATTTCTCCTTAGTTTTAAGTCAGTTCTCTCCTTAATTATTTTCCATCCATTGCTTCTTGTCCTGCTTTCAGGTGCTTTGGAGAAAAGGGGCCATATTTACCATCCTTGCTATAGACCTAGGGTGTCAAACTCAAGGCCCGGGGGCTGGATCTGGCCCACAGGGTGCTGAAGTCTGGCCCGCGGGGCTGCCCTGAAAACAATAAAG